GACAACTTCGCGTAGTCCATGTTCACTCTGCTGACCAGCTTTCCGATCTACTTACAAAGCCCTTATCCAAAGAGCAAACCCAATGTGTTGTCTCCAAGTTAGGGGTCGTTCCACCACCCCTAACTTGCGGGGGTATAATGGAGCTAAACGAGGATAGAATATTCACCAAATCAGTATCTTTTGTTCTTGATTTTATTACTTTATATTGCTGATTCTTACAGCTTTAATTTTTTATATGATTCGTTTATTTTTACTGATAATGTGGGATTCCCCACACAATTCACTTGTATTTAAAGAGCATATTATCAATGATACAATGCAAGCCTTTTCCCTTTACTCTGCTCTTTTAATATTCAGTACCCCGATTAACTTAAATTCGTGTCATATAGATCTCATAAAAGGAGAAATTACTCCCTACCTGGGGTCACTCCATTCAAAGGCTCAACCTGAAATTTTTTGTTAAGAAAAGAAAATCACATCAATCCAATGATATATTGGCAATTGTAAAAATTGTGTGGGGTAGCCATTTTTTAAAGTGGAATTTACTTTTTATCCAGCATTTTTAGTATTGAGCAAAAGTAGCCACTAATCTATTAAAATTAATATGAAAAGGCAGTATTACCCTTTCCTTCCCAAATGGAAATACGCCATTTTCAGATCCATTCCTTACAGCTCCACTTCTCCTTCTGCAATGGCATTCTGGGGTCCGTATGAGTGTTTCCATTATTTTCATAAATGAAACCCAATTTTGAACAGAAGAAACGAAATGCATTAATCATATAAATTTTATAAGCCTCTCATTTTCTTTTGTGTCTGCTTTCAGGAGTTGAATTGCTTGGTTTCACTCATAATAATCACAACGTGGGAGGACGTGACTTTTGGTTTTCTAAAAGAAGTGACTTCTAGATTTTCTTAAACGACATATAATTAGGAAAAATATGGTAAAAAGCCAAAAAGTTGAGGACAAAGATAATTGCGTTAAGGACATGTAGTCCTGAAGTCCTAAAGTTAAATTCAAAAGTTAAGGACATGGTCCTGAACTTAGAGTTTCAAGTTCAAAAGTTAAGGAAATGTAGACCTGAATTCCTAAAGTTAAGTTCAATAGTTAAGGACACAAGTTCAAAAGTTAAGGACAGGCAGTCCTTAACTTACAGTTACAAGTTCTAAAGTTAAGGACAGGCAGTCCTTAACTTATAGTTACAAGTTTAAAAGTTAAGGACAGGCAGTCCTTAACTTACAGTTACAAGTTCAAAAGTTAAGGACAATAGGTCCTTAACTTTGATTTCCAAGTTCAAAAGTTAAGGACAGACAGTCCTTAACTTACAGTTACACGTTCAAAAGTTAAGGACAAGCAGTCCTTAACTTACAGTTACAAGTTCAAAAGTTAAGGACAATAGGTCCTTAACTTTGACTTACAAGTTCAAAAGTTAAGGACGCTTGGTCCTGAAGTTTGAGTTCCAAGTTCAAAAGTTAAGGACATGTAGCCTTGAAGTCCTGAACTTAGAGTTACAAGTTCAAAAGTTAAGGACATGTAGTCCTGAAGTCCTGAACTTAAAGTTCCAAGTTCAAAAGTTAAGGACATGTAGTCCTGAAGTCCTGAAGTTAATTACAAAAGTTAAGGACATGAGCAGAAGGGTATTTTCGTCCGGGCAGTTAAAGTTTATTAAAGCAGTGGCTAAAGACTAAAGACATTTTAAACTGTGGCTTAAAAGTAAATACATGTGTTATTAGTGGTCAACCGTGCACTTCCCCCTCGGCAATTTTGTCCTAGACTTCTCTTTTAACTCTGAACGTCGACCCAATATTGCTCCAAGCACCATTTAAGCAAATATCCATGCAACAAAAAATAATTGCCCGCCCCTGCCCATTCCTTTTTTCTCCTGCCTATTTTGTAAAAAGCCAGCCAAATAAAGTTAAACTAAGCTACTAAACTAAGTCAATTCAAGTTAAGTCAAACCAATTCAAGTTAAGCCAAGCCAAACCAATTCAAGCGAAGTCAAGCCAAATCAAGCTAAGCAAAGCTAAATTGGTAAAACAAGTGGGATGGGTGAGATAGGTAGGTTGGGTAATTAGTTTTAGTTGGGTAGGTATTGTAAGTGCTTCAAAGCTTACAGTAATCCTGATTTACCCCAGTTATTACCTTAAGGTTTTGGATTAGATGTTAAGATTTTTTCACATGTTCGACTTCTTTTTTTATATACACACGTTCATTTTATGGTTTTTACTAGGTTGTTTTTTCAGATTATGAATTCTTGAAATGAATGCGAAGTTGTTTCCTTCTAATATTGGAAACTTTATTAGATTTGTGTTTAATACTGAACTTTAAATGTAGGAATATTTGTAAAAAAGTTATAATCTATACATCTATTAGTTCGATACATATACGAAGGGACGAGTCTGTTGCCCTTAATTAACTACTTCAACCAAAACCGACAGTATCACTGCCTGTTAAACTTTTGTCATGAAAACTACAGAATAATCGAAAGTGGCTTATCACCTACATCTTCTATGTTTTATTTAATGTTAAGCCACGTCGTCTTAAATCAGAATTACTAAGAGCTATATATATTTCCACATATTGAAGTACCAATTTAAGATTACTGCCAGATTGAAGGAAGCACAAAGGATTCAAGAAATTATGTTTCCCTAGCATAAGGATTATTGTCTAGTACCATCAATTTTAAAGAGGTGATAGAATTAATGGATATAGCTCTTTTAGAGTTTTAAACTTAAAATTATAAAACTATAAAATAAATTATGACTCTTGTCTTGTGCAAAACAATCCATCACGCATTTATATTTACCACCCTTCAAAAATAAATATATGTTTATCTTATCAATTATTTGGAGTGAGATAAGTAAGTTGAATAAATTTTACTTTTTTTTTTTGACATCTGAACTCCTTACTAATGATAAGTAGCGACTAGCGAGTATCCATACAAAATTTAAGCCTTCAAAGGCAAATGATATAAAAACCGTATTCAAAGCTATTAAATACCAATGGGGTGTTTAATGATACTATTATGAATGAATGAGGGGATGAGGACAAGCAATAAATATGATAAATGGCAATAAATATAAATAGAGAGAATGATTCAACCCAAATGTTCAATGAGGTGGATGATTCTCCCTCTGACAGTGATGTAAGGTAACCAAACGTGGGAAAGCTTGGAATAAACAACAAATCGAATCTTGTATAAAGATAATGTTTGTAGTTACTTGAGAGTCAACTTTTCTAGAGAGAGCTTATCAAATAGAATATTACATGCCCCCTTCTTTCTCTCTCTTTCTCTTCCTATTTATATAGGACATATCCCTTACCTACTGAAAGTACTAGTGCAGCTCGGCTTGCCAATGTTGTTTCTTATGTATGACCTCAGCCTAATTGATTCTTAATAGCCTTCTTTCAGGCGATGTCCCCTGATAAGATTTTGACCATACAGTCATTCCTTCTCTCTTAAACATAATTACAAGGAAGTAGCGCAAGTCGCAAGGCGAGAACCAAACCGACACTAAATTTTGAGTATAAAGCTTATTACAATTATTTTTTGGAGTATTGGAGAGCACCATAAACTAAGTGATAGAAAATTAAGGTTGAAAAAAAATATCTGACATTTTGATATCATATCTCCATAAGTAGAAAGCATATTAGTAGTAGTGAAGGTAGAATTATCATTAAGGAAATTAATATATTTACAAAGTAAATATACAAAAAAACTAGTCAAAAAAAAAAAAATTCAACATGTACTAATATTGTATTTTATGTAACTTATTAGCGAAGCTGGTTCAAATAAATCCCTTCCGACCCTAGCTCTTGCCCATGCATATTAGACCTTATTGAAATTGAAGAAGGTTCTAACAGATCATCACAGATCACATCCTTTATCCAAAGTTATTAAGATTGCAGATTTCTAATGATTATTGACACCTAATTCTCCTTCCCTAAATGACTAAAATGATGTAGCTTTACAGCATACTGTTGCACGTCCTCGTGCAAAAATGAGTCACGATATTCCACTAGGCCCCTACTACGAACCATGTGATCCCATTACTACATCAGTACTATCTAACTTCAGCATTTAAAATTTAACAAAATAGCGAACATAAAACCTTAAAGAAGAAGTAATCCAAAAGTAAGATACCATATCTAATAGACTAGAATATGTTCGGCGGAAGATAATAGGTATCCGATAAAAAAGTTAAAGATGTATGTAAGTTGACTCGAACACTATCGTAATAGTGTTCTACCACCATTTTACCCTTGCGCTAATCCTTCAAAGCCCAATTCTACATTAATGTCAACGATTGGTTAAAGAAAATGAAAATTCTACAACGTCAAAACACAGTTAAAATCTTGTCGAAATAAATTCTGATATCGACATATGAAAGTCAAACTCTAAGATATCCCCACAATCGCAATTCCTCCCCACTCAATAATATAAAGTTAATCACTTTGCTGACAGGTAGTACATACTTAAGTCTTAAGGAGGACCGTACAATAACTAAGAGGCTACAATCTGGACTATAGTATAGGGATTTAAATTTTAGAAGTCCTAAGTCCTAACCACTACAAACTTGGTTAACTAGGTTGAAAACCTAAAGAAAAACAATTATATTCCAAACTTAATTTTTTCCTTTAAATTAAGAACGAATGACTATTATATATAATGGTTTAACTAGAGGTGCCCAAGCTCCTAATTAATTCATCTGGAGAAGTATTGTGTCGATGATGGTAGCTACTAGTTGATTTGAGCCGCAGGAACATATATACTAAAAGAATTTTCACCCTATTGAAGATCTAATAGTGATATCGAAAAACTAACAATCGACTGTTAAAAAAATTCTAAAGTTGAAAAATTGTTACCTTTACGGAAATATGTTTGAATATAATATTCACTTATTGCATAGATGTTTAAACATATGAACATAAAAGACTATTTGAAGAAAAATTTTAATATGATACATAAATTATGGATTCGTTAATGAACGGTGCTCTAATATTAATGCAATAAAGATACTTTAACCTAAAGGGAAAAAAGTGCATAACATTACCATTGAGATGCAGTTACACTGGTATTCACTCTAATATCTATCTATAAAGTTTGTAACACTGACGATTCACACCAAATTCCCCACGAAACATACATCACATTATAATTATCACAACCATTAATCATACAGTGTACACAATCACAAAACAAGGAAGCACAGCCCTCGGATTAAATACCAATAACTCATCTTCTTCATCCAATCTCGACTGGAACCCATTTTCCCTACCCACCAAGGAATCAAACCCTGGATCCTCTTTATCCGCCAAATCCGGGTCACACCCGATCCGACCCGCAATGACCCGACAAACCAACATCGCCCGCTTCACGTTCATGAACCCGAATTCCTCCTCAATCTCCTCAGGTACCGCTGCGTGCGCCCTCCAACTCGTAGGTTGCACGGAAATTCCGTCCATCTTATTTGAGAACCCGCTCTTTATAATCCCGCACACACTACAGTACTGCTGGTTACAGATGCTGGAATTACCATTTTGCCCCAGCTCACACATGAACGTAGTACAATGGAACCTCAACAGTTCATTTCCATCAGCTATACACCTCTCGTCCCTCTTAACGACGACGTTTCGACTGGCTTTAAACTTCACGTGCTCTCTGTAGTCCTCAAACCGGGTTAAAATCCTCTTGCTGTTGTGAATCTTTAGGATCTGATGGATGATCGGGTTATTTTTCTTCTCGGGCCAACCCGTTTTGAAAATGATCCGAACTATGTTCTTACCTGAATCACCGTCAATGAGCTCTGAAACTGCATGTTTTATGGACTGGTGTTGTTCGAGATGAATCGGGCTCTGGAATACTTCCCCACATAGGGTACAAGGATAGATGTCGTTACGTAAAGGGAAGAAAAGCTGGTCGGCGCAAATATCGGATTCGGGTACTGGATAAACGGAGCGGGTAATCGGATCATCGGATGAAATAGGAAAGATGGGTTTGTGAAGGGACCTTGTGGAAGAACATGGAGATTGGATTGAAGGGTTATGGTGAGTTGGGCTAGTAGTAATTTTTTGAATGGGGTCTGGTTTTGATGAGAAAATACGTTTAATGTAAGACCAAGAAGAGGAAATAACCTTAGTTGCTTTGTTTTTGGAATGGTGATCAGAAGGGAGTTTTCGTTTTTTTGAGGGCTGATTATGAGAAGCTGAGGAGAAGATGAAGCAGCCAAGGTGAAGTAAGAGGAAGATAACAGAGAGGAAAGGTGAGAAAATGGGACGAAAAACAGTAGCCATTTTTTATGGTTTGGTTTAAGGAATTGTCAATGTTTTTATCACGACTGGGTCACATTTTGTGAAGTTGAGAGAATGAATGGTGGCAGAAGAAAAAGAAGGGGGGTGTGAAAAAGGAAGAGAAATATATTAAGGGTAGGGACATGGAAATATGGAGGGAGGATAAAGCTAAAGGTTGGTGTTTGGTGGAAGGCAACTTCATGCCATCTCTCTGCTTGTTCTTGTCTCGCTCCATGGATTTATCGTGAATATTTTATTAATATCATTATCGGAATAAAGTTAACTTTGTCTATGATATGATGTATCAGTAAACGATTTGGAGATCGGTAAAAATTTACCCGCATCGAATGTTTACACTAATCCAATAATTAAATGACACTTGTCGCTTAATCTAACTACAACTATTGGTGAATAATTATAGTTAACTTTCATTAGTTTTGCACATAATCTAAAATAATAATTAAATATACCTAATAATCTTGCTAGCTATTTCGATGGTGTGTCTTTGTTAGTTAACTCGGCAATGCTTTTGAAATTCTAGAGTAATAAAACGATATAACATTATTTGCATAAACACTTAAATTGATCATCTCTTTTTTCGTATTTCTTTTTCCTACCAAACTTAAACAATTAGCTAAAGTAAATTAAATTAAACGAATATACTTGACCTTACAATGGCCGATCAAACGGTGTTTTATATGTAATAATGGCTAGTCAATATTAATAAGAGCTCCATTTCTATGGATTAAGAACTTTCAAGTTTATGGTTTTCGCAGTCTTGTATTTATTCCGATAATTATTGTAGAAGAAGACAAGATTTTGCCCAGGTATTTCACAAAAAAACGGGATTAGAACATAGATTAAGTTAGGGGGAGGATGGGGACTATCTATCTATCTATATCTATATTATTATAAAAGCACGAATAATTTATGCTAAATGTTGAACGACTAAAATATCCTTGAAATATTGATCGACTTTTATGCCCTTAAATATTTGTATAATTTAAGGATCTAATGGTAAATTACCTATAATGAAATTCTTTTTCGATTTAAATTATATATATGCCCGACCCTACAACGTTGATCCTACTTGAACTATAAAAGTACGTCCATATTTTATTTCAAAAAAAATTATTGTTCCTAATTACAATTCCTTGTAACAAGGCACGTACTAAAAGGAAATTTAGTACTACGCTCTAAAAAAAACATTTTGAACAAAGTGAAAAAATCTTTGTATTAGTTCATAAAAAGCTAAAATTAAATTAAGTTATTATCATTTATGATATATTTTGTGTTCCTAAATATTAGGAGTTACAACATAATTCAAATACTTTGAGTTAATTTTTAGAATATTAAATAAAAGAAAATAATTAAATAATAGCTTTTTAAAATATTAAATCTAATTTTAAAGGGTAAAAAAATATATGAGATTTTGCTCTTTAATTTACTTATTTTTACTTCAATACATGTAACTGATTCCTTTACGAAATTCTCAAAGAAAATCGATGGATGTTATATTAGGTTTGATAATAGGCTATAATTGCGTATTTTAGTCGATTATTACACTCTAATTTNCTCTACCGTCTCAAGAAGATTAAGAAACATATTTTATGTTTTCAATATCCAGTTGCGCCTATGCTGAAAGGTTGTGTATGTAAGTCAGTAGTGTTCGTTGTCTTTACTTACCTCTTAGAGAAGAATTAGCAAACAACAATTGATCAAGACTTAGAAGACTTTTCAACTGTGAATCAAGATTAGAAAACGTGCAACAGTCTTTATTCAATGGATCAAACAAATGTCGATATCTCTTCAGGTAAACTTGGATCAAAGTTCAATTGTAAAAATATTTGTTTAATTGATTCATGTACGACACATACAATATTCAAAGAGAAGAAATATTTCTCTCATTTAAGTATGTGTAAGGCAGATGTTACTACAATTTCTGGTAGTAGTAATTTAATTGAAGGCTCTGGAAGGCGTACTACTAATAACTCTCGTACCGGTAAAGGAAACTA